GTGATCCATACGATTCGTAACCCTGGTACTTGTCTGGTGATAAGACGCTGGCTAAATACCTGTTCTCTCAAATATGACGCTTCTCAGCCTATAACGCTATATATTGAGTTCTGTTGACAGTAATCCAGTGTAATAATATTTAGAAGTAAGACTTGTAGTGTTACAGTGTTTTAGAATTAAGATACTGAAAGAAAAAGAAAATAAAATAAAATAAAATAAAACATAGCAAAATGAAAAGCTCGATTTACAAGGAACAAATAAAACAGTTCGAGTATACATTGTCTTACTTAAGAGACTACATGAATAGAAGTTAGACGGCGCTAACAAATTTAGAATTTGAGTCTAATATATTTACATAAAACTCCACCTTACACATTGAACATTACAAACCGAACTCCGACATAGAACATTACAGGAGACCAAACTACAACCTAATAAGAGCGACATCTACCCAGGGCCGTAACTAAATCAGAGCAACGAAGGGGGGGGGGGGGAGTGTTCTCGGGGGTGCTGTAATATTGACGGACAATGTATATCTATCTTTTTTATGGTCGAAAAAATTTTCACAGGGGGGGGGGGGGCACCTGCGCCCCGCACTAGTTACGGGCCTGTATTACCTAGCCTGATATACTTGTCAGAGAAGGGCCAGGCCTGGCACGTAAAAGGGGTTGGTCTTGCTATCTACGTTAGCCAAAACATAAATTATATTTCTCTATCGCTGAATGTAGCTAGCCCCTTAGAAGCAATGAGCATAGCTATCACATTGATCAATAATAACAAAATGGCAATAGTGAATGTCTATGCACCCTCAGTGGTCACAATAAACCAGATGACTACCTGTCACTTCACGACCAGCTTGCACAGTGCGAAACTGTTTTCTGTGGGTATTTCAACGCAAAACACGTTCTGTCGGGCTCACCGAGCAATGACTGTCGGGAGATTAGCCGATGCTCATTAATAGAAGGGAACGACCTGTGTGTGCTGAATGATGAGCATTTGTTGAAGAAAATATCCCACCTTCACATCTGAACCTCACATTCTGTACACTGGTCATCGCAAACTGCTGCGATTGTCAAATACACGAAGCTGAAACACTAGGCGGCGATCATCTGATGATGGAGTTCAATATCCAAGTTGAAACAGCCAATGGGGGCCTACAACGGGAATCCAATTGGAAAATGGAAGAAGCTAAGTGGCAACCTTCCGCGTGGGCTGCCTTGTGTGGAAGGAGGAAGACAGAATGCCAAAAGACAGTTTAGATAGAAAGAAGGCACTACGCCCCCGGAAACGCCACTATAAGGAAGAAAACCACCAGAACTACTTAAATTGAAGTACGCTGCTAGAAGCACCATTAAAGAGAAACAAAGTGGGCACTGGGGGACATTCTGTAATGCGTTAAATATAAACACTCAAACAGGTGTCGTCTGGAAGAAGCTGAACAGCATGAACGCAAAGCGTAGAAAATACAACATACCAAACGAAGACGAGTTTGTGACCAAAGGCAAAGAAAAGTCAGATCTGCTAGCAAAAACAATTGCAGACGCAAGCAAACATAAGAACCAATCTCCAGATTTCTTACAGAGGAAGGAAATCTTTTACTCAGAGTGCACTCATCACTCATTAATAATTGAATCTAATGAAGAGGCTGAACCAATCAACTTATCCTTCTCGGACGAAGAGTTAAATTAAGCTCTTTCTCTCAGGAAGGATAATACGGTTGGTATGGGCAAAGTAAAGTACACCATGCTAAATCATCTGCATAGAAATGCCACAACGATACTCTTGAATTTCTTCAACGCTTCCTGGATAACAGGAGAGGTACCTAAAGAATGGCAGAACACCAAAATAAAGTTTTGTCGCAAGCACACCTCCAGGGGAATCTGTTGTGTGCCGTGTTTGTAATCTATTTTCATAAACTAGAAACTGTGGTGTGCTTTTTGGTCAGTTATTTTGTTTATTTCTTTGTAAAATATTTTTCTTGGAGATATCAACTTCCTAGAATATATTATCTGGTAATCTTGTGTTGAAGCTGAATTTTTGTCCGTCGTGCCCAAATTCTCTGGCGCGACAGTGGACTTTTGTTGATATTTTTGCCCACGGTGGCTAAGTGGGTAAGACGCTGGAGGTCAGGTGTTCGATCCCAGCATTGACCGAGAAAGTTCATCCAGATTTTCCGGCGTGGTTCCCCTTTGTCAGTGATGCAGAACGGAGGGCCTGACAAGGACAGCTGTCTAGTCATTCGGATGGGACGAAAAAACGAGGTCCCGTGTACATATTATCTTCCTGTGGCTATCGACAATTAATTGTTTTGTTGACTGTATTTTAAAGATTTGCAGATTTAACGAAAGGGATTTGGGTAACCATTTCATAGCCAGATGGGGGGAGGGGGCTAATGCTTTTACGCGTGGGCTTTAAATCATAAAGTCAGTCGTTGAGTCAAGTGGCGTGGGTTCGATTCCACACTGCCGCGCGTGCGTGACAAGAAATAGGATCACCAGTCCAGCCTTGTGGGTTTCCATCGGGTTCTCAGGTTTCCTCCCACTGCTAAAGCGAATTATAGAAATAAAATTGAACATATATCAGTTAGTGTCAAGTGGGCGTTACAATTTTAGCCTTAAGGTAAAATAAACCTGTGATTAATTTTTATTTGGTAAAATGATTTAGGCTAGCGTGAAACTTGAAATACAAATTTCGGAGTTAATTTGAAACGAAGGCTTCCTTGTCCCGTCAGCTTTAAAATGTCAATCTGACTGCTAGCATTGCGGATCCTTTATAGTTGGTATTACTTTTCGGATAATTCACAGTTTATGTCTTGATAGTTTTAGTGAGATGTCGTGTACAAAGCTGAATATGCTTAATGTATCCGGACCGGCTTTCTTGTTTGTGTAATAATTACTTTGACATTCACGTTTAGGTCCACTTTCTATTTTCTTCATTTTGACTTTTCTTTAATGGTTTTTTTTTGCTCTCAGTTAACCAGATTTCTTTAATCCAAGAACAAGCTTAAAGGGACATTAACACTCTTGCTGGCTTGACAGCTCCAGAAAATAAATAATAGCCTTATTCTAAGTACTAGATGTGTTAGTGTCCTACCTGTTGTGTAAATTATTCATTAAATCCTATTTTACTTGTCTGGGGGTTCGAAATAATTTTTAAATCCAAGTCACATTTGAAAAGGTTTACGTTAGGCTTTTCAAATCATTTAGTTGAATTTTTCCAATTTTTTAAATTAGGTGTGTTCGTCACTTCCGATTCAGGAAACCTGTATTACTCAGCTATCGTAGCAATGATCTCTGTGTTAAAATTATATTTGGAACGTATTTAATTTAGTTCTATCACATTTGTGATAATGACTGACACCAATATTGTCCTTTAAAAATGGGAGTAGCTACGATAATAAACAATCTGTGCTACATCTTCCAACTCCCATAACTTCACTCAAAATAAAGTAATTCTCATTATCTATCTTTAACCAGCTCTTTATCTAAATCTTACATAATATGGTACTGATTTACGAACGTCCATAAGACCAAAATTATTTTGGAATACAATATATTGAGAAACTCAATGATATGTTGAATTATAGGATAAGAAACCCAAGTAAAGGGGTTACATGTGGATCCAAAGATAGCGTGTTCATGGGAAAGATATATTATTTGTACACGTAGGCCTACTAGGGTCATTTCAATCACATTTTAAACATGTAGACATATTTATTGTGTAATGGGGTGTAAGTTCGGAGGCGTATTTGTCTGACTGTTCTAAAAACAAGTTCGTCTTCCGAACTCATGTAGCACGACAATATGGCTGTCATATGGGTGCATGTTGACGGTAGAGAGTTGCTTCCGATCCCAGCAATCATTGGTGACACTAACGACAAACAGAACACTGAAGTAATAAGTACCGAGTGAAATCGACTTCCAATGATATAAGAGCCACAGTTGCCCATTGAGTAAGGCGTGGTTCACTAACCAGGGGATCTTATATTCAAAGCCGGTCTTAGCTGAGAACGCTCCCCTTGTCACGTAAAATAAAACTTGTCACGTAAAATAACCCTTGGCAGTTGGGATTTGATGTAGAGTACGCGGAAACGCCGCTACCCGGACACAATTCTCCCCACAGAACACTTCATGATGTATGCCTTTTTTTCATGAGCGGAATCGGAGCAAAATATTATTACGTTCATTAAGTCATGTAGGTGAAACAGACCTCCGGTTGATTGAGCAATTGGCTACAGGTTTGGCTATCACGTATCTTGTATTGGTTTTATTAAAATAAACATGTCTCCCATTTCAAATGTATTGAAATTTTTTCAACATGTGCAGTTATAATTATGTGGGGAATAAGCCCTACTGATAAAGAGGTTTAAAGTAGCCAAGTCTCTAACTCAATATCATCCAAAGTCTTCGACATTGAAAACACGAATTATTTGTCAATTTAATGGACTTCTGATATCCAATATTTGTGACAAAATAAACATTTTACCATTGGTTCACGAATCGTGTACCATAATGCGTTTCAACGCCTTATTTGGGAGAGAGAGAGAGAAATGGAGTTTAACGTCCATTAGCAGTGGGAGGAAACCGGAGGACCCGGAGAAAACCCACAAGGTTGGACAGGCAACCCTACTCCTTGTCACGTACAACCGGGGATTCGAAACAACGCCAGGTGACTCAATGATATGATACAGCGCTTACGTGCTAACCATTCGGCCATCCAACCCCCCTTTCAACGCCATTTGTAACAATGGGCTCGTGGAACATATTTCACAAGTCATGTCAAACGGTGACGTCATATTCTTATCTGGAGAGCATGTGCAATAAATAGCTCGGTGTAGATATGCGCTGTGACCCATTTCTAGGTCCCAAATATTAGCGAATTAAATCTTTTAAGCGCCTGACTTCAAGATTAGCCTTCGCGTACAGTTTATTGGATTTAGTAAAATGTTGAGGTCTCTCGTTTCTAATCCAGTCAACACCACTTAAATTGAAATCTGATTTATTACCTGATTAACATTAGTACATTTATAAAAGACATTGGGGTTGATTGTTCATAATTCAAAATTACAATTCCTGTAACTAAATCATAAATCATTCTGGTTTATTTACATTCTCCTTCATGTACAACTTCCAAGAATTTACCTTGTCTGAAATATAAAATACAAGAAAATCATGTTCCTTTAGCAACACAGGTTGTCATATTTGTTTGAAAAATTTCTTTATAAACCGCTGGAATGTCATGTAATTACATTGCTCTACTATAGCGATCTCCTTGGCAGGTTGATTTAATTTATAATAACCAAGTCCCGATGTCTTTTTATCCACCAACTGGAGTCGATATAATTCTAGTAATAAACGTCGAGGATTTTTTTTCTATCCTCCAACTGGCTCCGATTTAGTCGTAATATTCAAGCTCCGATGTTTTTCTGCCTTCCCATGCGCTCCAACTGGGGCTCATATAATCCAAATACTCAAGTATCGGTGGTTTTTTTGTACCATTCACCAGTTGGAGTAGATATAATCCTTATACTTGGGGGCCGATGTTTTTGCTATTCACCAAATGGTGCCGATATATTTCTACTACTTTAATGGCCGATGTTTTTGCTATCCACCAAATGGCAAGATTTATTGACATTTACTAGTTGAAGATCTTACCTGCAAGATTCGGATCCCATGAGACATTCTGAGTTGTATGTATTGCCATCATTAGCACAGACTGGTTTGTAGATAAACGTACAGGCACGTAGACAACTACATTCTCCAACAGCAGGTTGTTTCACTAGACTGAAACCCTTCTTAGCCATTCTAAAATATATTAAATACATGTTAGATTCTTACATCAATCGTTTCAATGTGAAGGTCGCTTAATTTTGGAGCAGGTGCTGTAAACTACTACCCATTGTAAACAACACCTCATAAATAGATTATTAACAACCGTTATCATTATTGCTTGTCCCACCCTACAGCTGTTTTTTTTATAAGGCCTTTTTCATTCTGCATGTATACACAGAGAACTATCTACCTTGAGAATCGATCTCTGCCCTGATTGGCCGCCATGTCGAAAATTTAGTGTATTCTTTTGTTATGCTGTTCTAATCCGTTTTACACCTTTCATAAACCCAAACTCGAAATAAACATTTCAATTTAAAAAGAAACAGAATAAAAACTTCTCGGAAATCTCGAAATATATTTAGCGTTTTTGGACTAAAATCGTCGATATTGGAATTAAATTGTCGGTCAATTAGGTTCGTGTCAGTTGTACAGATCGTGTAAGTTTCGTATGGTTATTTTATGACAATACCTTATTGCATCTGCATTTCTGTAACCAGTGAGAGTTGTCTCTATACATAGACACATGAATACATTGGATATGCATGCATAAAATATGAGAGAATTAGATAAACACTTACTCGCAAGCATCGGCTTTCATCATACATTCATTGCCATATGTCTTCGTATAGGTAGCACAAACCGGGTCATTGATTAACTGACATGCTCTTAAACATGTCTCTTCGCAGTAAACTGAAATATGCAATCTTTAGTATGGTGAAACAGTCGAATAAAATAATACATGAGATTCAATTATATCTGGCATACACAGCCCAGAGCTACCCAGCCGCACTCTACAGGCAAAACTAAAAAAAAATGACAGCACCTTAATATTTCTCTCTCGTTATAAAATAATTTAATAAATCCCTAACTAGTAATTCATTAACATAATTTAGACCAAACACTTACCTCCCACCACAACTAAAACAAGAACTGCTAAAACTTTCATCTTTATGAATGTGGTTGTTTGTAAAATCTAGAAATGATTAAAACTCCCGATAGTATTTAACGACATACATTCTGGCTTATATAGTAATATATGTTTTCCTTGTCCTCCAGATTACGATAGATTTATGACAGTTTTTTTCCAAGAAACCCCCCACTTTAAATTTATAATATGTATGTTGATATTGATTTTAAATAATTTCTTTGATATCCTGAACAAAAAGTGAAATATTACTTTAGAGGCAAGTGCGAGCTAACGATCTTTGTTGATAAATTATCAAAATATTATCTACCGTGTTATGAAGCTCTTGTGTATATCAGATATAATCATTTTACCTTTGTTGGTTGTAAACATGTAGAAACAGAAGTGATCGGCGCGGGCTATATCTTATATAGTGTAGACGGAAATTACTGAGTCGGGATATTAAGAGGCCATAAATTATCTGTTTTTATTATTACAACAACATTAAAGGTCCAGTGTATCGAATGTTTAGTAACCTAGTCAATAGTCTAAGATGTAGACTGAATAATGTTTTATTTCACTTACAGGTAAATGAGTGGCATCGGGTGTTCTGCAAACAGTGGCATAATTAAAGCGATAGTTTGAATCAGTGGGAGGTATACTTGGAACAATGGCCACAACGTATTGTTAATGTTATGGATTGACTATTCCCAACGCATATACGTCATGCAGCGTCACAGCGGATTACTCTTATTTAGAATTATACTACCAATAGATCTATTACGTACACTAACAATTCTATACCATCCTTAAGATAAGACACCTTTCCTTTTCAGGCCCTCTGCCCTGCATCACTGACAAGGAGAGACCTTGCTTTACATTTCCAAGGAATCATCTCGGCCAACACCGGGATCGAACACGGGACACCTTGGCTCCACAATTGCAAGAGAATAACAAAAACTGTTTTATTTATGAAGATCTAACTGCTTTCTAAGGGTGGGGTTGGGCAGAATCAACCAAAAGTAAACCAATTATTGGAAGATGATTTTGGACGGTTAAGTACAAAATTCCAAATTAATGCATACTTTAGGCCTCATTTTCTCAAAATCAGATTTGTCTTGTCGGGTTTATAAAATAAACATAAAAATCTAGAACAGAACCATGTCGATCCATTTAATACACGAAATTGGTCAACCTAGCGAATTTCTAATAAAATTGAGAATAAAATCATAAAATTTGAACTATATTCATAACTATATTTAAACCGTTACGTTCCCCGTATTCCAGTGATGAGCATGAAAGACTACGTCGTTAGGATCTAAATCCGCACATCATTCGTCTAAAATTCTGGCAAATGTTCATGTGGTACAAAAGTTCCCGTAAATAAAGCAAAAGAAAATTTGACATTTACATGTACTTGTAATGACCCAACGTTACCATAAACGCGTATACTGGCATAATACATCTGTCTTCGGACAATACATGTCTGGAAAAACAAACCCTTAACGAAAATCGACCGAAAAGTTATCGCTAAACTAACAGTGCATGTGCCTGTCTTCATAAACCTTGTTGGTGCAAGTAAGACGTTAAACCCCCATTTCATTTCTGTATTCATCCGAACGCGGGTTATGATAATTGTTACAGGATTCAAAATTATTCATAAAATTGTACGTTACTCTTTATCCATGTCCTTGAATTTTATCAAAGTTAATTCGAAGATATAGCTGGGTATTATTACTTTCTTGATTAAAGTAGGACTAATACTACTTTTGAATAGTTTGCTGATTGATTTACCAAGATGTCCCCACCCCGAAATATTTATAACGGATTGCATGCCTTACCTCGTCAGTTTCCCTGGGTATCTTGGTTTCATCAAACTTCTAAAGGGAACCTGCAGGCAAAGCATCGGCCAACTATAATCTGCATGAACCAATAAAGGTGCAACAATTAAGACCCGCGGCACACCCTATTAGCTGGATCTTGGATTATTCGGAACAATATTATAATTATATAGTAAATTTATTATCTTCAATTTATAATACAATAGTTACAAGCATAACATATATTTTACCCTGATGATAGATGATTTATAACATATAATACCCTGATAGAAGATTCATTTATAGATGATTCATAACATATATTTTATATATAATACCCTGATAGAATATTCATATAGATGATAATTATTTTATATATAATACCCTGATAGATGACCCATAACATATATTTTATATAATTATAATACCCTGGTAGATGACTGTTAATAATAAAAAAATCTGTTGGAAATCAAAATTTAGATTTAAAAAATAAATGCTAAGTTTGTGAGATCTATAACGATCAAGTATTTCAGTTCTATGTTACATCGAATTCAGGTGAAGAATTTAAATAGGTAACATTAACACACATTGTACTGATTGTAAACATTCTTTTCAGAAACCAGTAGTATCAACATCAATTTTTGTATCACATATTGCACTAATTATAAACATCTCTTTCACAAACTAGTAGTATCATCATCCATTTTTGTAAATTTGTGTTTTAGTACATCTATGTAACACATATTCCACAATTATAAACATTTAGTTCACATTGCACTAATCACTTTAAACAAACTAGTATTTTCATCATCCATTTGGACTCTATGTTCATAAACTAGAAAAGAGGCGAGACTTTTAAATACGTACATCTCGTGGTGTGTTTTTGATACGTTATTTTACTTTTGATTCTTCTATAAACTACCAGCTCAAGTAAAAGGAAACCATTTTAGGTAACACCACGCCCAATTCTTGTCTTGGAGGTGATTTTTTTGCCCAATTTTTCTCGAGACATACACTTGTGTAATCGTTTCGGGCCGACTTCTTAGTCCTCATCAGATTCGGTACAACATGTAAATACCCTTTTAAACCTTCTCCAACTTTCGACAACTCTTTTTCTCCAGGATACGCGATGTACGTTGCCTATAAAATGAAAATAACAATGTAGATTATGAAAACAGACGGGTTTCCAAAATGGCGCTACACATAATTATCATATGGCTTAAACGAGTCAAATATTGGTCACGTTAAAAGTGTAGAATTTGTTAATTCGACCTGCGATACTGTGATCTCCATTCCATTATAATTTTTTTTCGGCAGATATATTTATTTCATTTTGATTTCACCTGTTGCTAAACTTTCGACTTTTGAACGCAAAATTAGTTATTTTTTAACATTGGCATTATCCACGAACCCTAACCCTAACTCTAACCCTACCCTTCATTAAAAATAAATTAAATCAACTTGTTTAACCCCAAACAAAACGATTTAGACATTTGGAAGCATGCCATCTAGGAGAATATTTAATGAATATTCTATAGGCTAATAATGAACTCACCATATCTATGGTAATGTGGTCGACATGGTAAAATATCTGATGAATGACTTGAAATTGATCTATAATCATCAGTATGTCTATCTGATGATGATGTACTAAATGGTGTATAACTACTACCAGTATAATCAGATGTACTAGATGACCAAAGAGATATCCAGTCTGGTGTTTTAATAGGAGTACCTGGTTCAGAATCTGTAAAATTCAGATTTAACCTAGGAATAATGACTCCGTTTACAATAATGTAATCACCAATATCTTCGTTTTCAGATTCTTTATCATAATTATCATGATTCTCGTTACCATCATTTGGGCAAATATTAGCCTCGTCCTGATTATTCGTAGTGTCATCTTCAATTGTAGCTCCACCCACAATCATATCTTCATTATGATCCCCAGCTTCGGCTTGAATTAGCCCCCTATGGCTATCGATAATGGTATTGTTGACTGTATTTTGAAGATTGGCTGACTTTACAAAAGTGACTTTTGTGTTGACGTCCTTCGGGGTACTCGGCGATTCCGGCATTATTGGAATATCTGAAATACAGAACACATCTTTTGTTATGAAAGCGTTCCTCTACATTCTAGAAACACCTTATAAAAAATAGTTTGTTATGTAAATTTCAGTTTGTATCTAGGGACGTTACAATGTCTCAAATTATCCGTGTATTGATGTCACAATCTTTCGATTTTATATGATTTTAATACGTAATGCGTAAGAAATGAATACAAACGAAAATGCAATTTTAACAAATAAATGAAAGGTAATATCGGCAATCGACTAATCACTTTTTAACTATGAACTATGCATTATATCTAGCGATATTGAAACTTACCTGATCTCCGTAATTAGTTTTCAGCTCACAATAAATATTAAAATTGAAGCCACAAATTAATAGTCTTATAGGTATAGATAATTCCGTGAAAACGTCCGATTTGTAGTAAATAAACTAAATCTATGATTATGACGTCAAACAATGTAATGACGTTACAATACAATACGTTATAAATCGCTTATAATTTTACCTTTATAGGGCTAACAAAATAAAACAAAAATCTTCTTTTTTTTTTCTTCTTTTTTTCTTTTGACAGGAATTTTGCAGCTTTTCCGATGCTTATCAGCATGGTACCATTTTATCATATCAGCTTATTACAAGGTGGGTTTGAGAACGGTTTTGTTATTCAGTTTTAAAAATTTACTGGGAAATCAGCTGAGACCTTTTTGTGCCTGTAGTAAAGAATTTAGCATACTAGTTTACAGAATTGAAGTGTTTAATTATGCAATACATTAAGATACCCGAGTCAATACTGTTACAAAGCTGTCCCTTACATTAGCTTCCAGCACACACTCTTCTGGTTATAATTCTATCCTGAAAATGTAGATGTCTGGGGGCACAATTGTCTGACTACTCAAAAACAAACAATTCGTGTTCCGTAGACACCTATAATTGTTTTCCATAACGGCCATTCAGGTGCTGGCTCAGAAATTTCCTTAACACTTTATTTTCTAGTGAGGTTTTCCCTTGTCGGTGGCTGAGAGTCTGACAGGGAACAAGGTCCAGTCGTTAATGGAACGAAAAGCCGAGGTCTCAAGGTAAGACTGCTGTACTCATTACATATATGTAGCAGATTAGATAAATATAAATAAGACTCGTGCAAAAGAGATAATAGTAAAACGTTGATTAATTATTTGTTTTCTCACAATAATGAAACATTTTACGTCCAAATTTTTTTTCGTTGGCAT